AATTATTTCTTCCTTCTAGCACCAACCAATTGCGAGGGCATCACCTCAAGGTTCAAAAACCACGGTCGAATCGTCTGCGTCTGGAAATCCGTTTTTCGCATCGAATTGTGAACCATTGGAACTCCCTACCGGAACACGTCGTATCGGCGCCATCCGTTGATTCATTCAAGGCGAGATTGGACCTCCTGTATGCAATAAATCGAAAGGATTAACACAGGCATATAGCCTACTATCCTAAATAAATTGTAAACTGTAAGTGACCTTGGTTTTGGAAGAAGATTTAAGTGATGTAATATTGCGATTTCATAGACATAACTCAGGCTCATAGATGAAAGAAAGTTATAATTCTGGAATAAGAACAAGTTGTTCATAAGGCAAGGAGGACATTATTTTTCAGTTTATTTGTATATATACTATCGTGCATTGAGTTGTACTGAGTTCTTAGTGCAACTGTATGTAACTTCATTTACATAAAGTAAAACATTACGAATACTCCTGTTTTTAGAATAAAAAACGTGATTATTTCCATTAATTTTAGCACTGAAGAATGGAATTTCTTCCACGTCAGTGTTATTTGATTGAAGTTTTAATCTCTGTAGGCCCTTAAAGGTATAAATTCGGCACGGAGAAGTGCTATGGAAACCGAAAGTACTTTTAGTTTACTAAATCTTACTGACTTCCCGTATAAATTTGATATCTGTCAAGTGTTTATGTAAAGTCTGCCGCAGTATTCAGCAAAGTAAATGTTGTAGTGCATAATTCCTAGACTTGCTGTAGTCATTGGTATTGCCAGGATATCACTTACTCGTTTTATGCAGCCGAAATATCCGATTTTCACTTTATTGAGGAAACACTATGTTGCCTGCAAAAGTAGTGCGTCAATTTATGAGTTTCATTAGGCCTACAGAATGTTTTCTATTCATTGAATACTGTTTGCGAATTACTCCATAAAACACATTTCCGAGTGGGATGCAACACAAGGCTGAATTCTTAAACTGTCATCCTTATAACAGTTCAATTCAATCACACATGTATTAGTAGGATAGTCTGTAGCTGACTTTAGAGACTTATCAGGGAATAGTCTCATCAACTTACAGTTTGCTGATGATATCGTCCACCTAGACTATGCGAAGTAACCCCTGATGCTGTAGGATACGAAAATAATACCGGTGTTTGATTACAGGTGTCTGCGTTCTATCTCATGAGTAAAGCAGTATAATATGGCGAGTGCTGTTGAGGTTACGCATAAATGTTTAGGTGGGGAGGGTATATTAGTCTTCAAGGTAGGGAAGCTGAATAGGTTGAGATGGCTAGAACGTGCTGGCATATCAAGCCATCGCCTTCCTCCAGGGACAATGCTGGCCAGCACATGTTAAGGTTTAAAATGTGTTTGGGTCAGTCAAATGGAAAACTGGTATTGGTTCATAAAATCGTTGACGGTCAGCTGGAAGAACTACTAGAGATATGACTGCAAATCTTTGTTACTGGCACAGATGCATTCACTCTATGTAATCTCACGTATCTGTTCAACTCATGTTTTTCGTTGTCACTATTTATTCTCCCTCACACTTTCGCTCGTTAAACTTGCATTTAGTTTTATGTCTCTACCTACGTGTTCTACATGGAATGTGGTAAATTAAACAGGTGGACTTCTCTGCAAACTCATACTGAAAGCTAGTCAGAATGACACAGTCTAGGCATAACTAAATGCGAAACATTGATAAATGATCTCCAAAATTTCAACAAATGATAGGTGTAGTTCTTAATCTTGTTCTTTGCCAAATGAAAAATAGATACCTTTCAGTAATCTCTTCTTTCACCCGGGACTCGTCTCCTACTTTGCAAGTTTTTGTGCTTTGTCACTTTTGTGCTAAGCTTTCAGTCAGCATATGCCGTTGTTGTCGACTCAGGACATAGATGACTTTAGTTGAATAAGTTTTCGGTCGTGAAAACACGGGTCCTGAGGAGTTGACTGGTTGCATTATCATTTCTCAAATGGAATGCAGCATACTGTATATTAGGGTAAATATTCCGCCTCGTTTGCTGAAGCTGGTGTTCCTCAGGGTATTGTTATCTCTCCTCTTCTTTTTTCTCCCTCGTCTTACATGACTTTTCTCCTTCTAATGAGAGCAACTTCGTCAAATACGCTGGTGATCTGACCGTCTCACTTCCTGTCATGTTACAATGTGACTGCAGCAAACCTAACTGCTTCCTGTCTGTAGTCTAAGGCATATGGTCTTACGTTAAATCCCTCTAAATTTCAGGCAGTTAACTTTCCCTTCACTCATAAGCGTGAATTACAAGAATTGTGTTGTTTACAAGATGCTCGTATCAAAGAGGGCACTGAAACAGAAACTAAGTCTAACATAAAATACCTTGAAGTAGTTCTATCCTCTGGTCTTTCTTGGTCATTCTATATCTTGTCGATTTCTAAGAAAACCTTCAGTCTAGCTTACCACGTTATGTGGTCAAGACAGTCAGGAATCATTCAACCTCCTTTTACAATTTGTTAACTCTTGCATCGGTCTTTACTGCTCCCCCTTATTCTTTCCTGAATTACTCAAAAACGGCTATGTCGTATTGTGCAGGGTATTAAGGCTGTCATTAGGGCAAGTGGCGTACCATTTAGTCAACTCGTTAATGGATTAGTTGAAAGACATCTAAACTCATGCGATAAATGGTCTAAAACTATACTATCTAACCCTCAACATCTCCTATATTCTCAGCTCTTGCCTTTAACTTCATCTGATCGAACCAGAAGTCAGTGTCAAAGATTATATGATCGGTTTCGGAATTACGTAATACCAAAAATTGCTGTCGATTTCATTGGCAGCAGTTCACAGCCTACTGAGTTTACAGAAGTGCAATGCTCATCTCCCACTTTCTTGAGGAGACGTCAACTAGGATTCTAGGAAAGTAGCGCGTCAGTATGTGAATTTCATGAATCTGTAGACTGCATTCCATTCACTTAATACTGAAACTAAACTATGAGGGAACTGATATTTCCAAGAAGGGTATAATACAAGGCTCATTTCTACAACTGTAGTCCTTATTTTAGTTCACGTTCATCCTAAATGTATTAACCGAATTATCTATCACCCACTTTAGGGACTTACCAGAGAACAGTCTTGTCAACTTAGTGTATGCTGATGGTATTGCCCACTTAGGCTGCGATAAGTGACCATTGAAACTGGAAGATATGAAAAGACTACTGGTTTTTGATCGTAGTGTCTGTACCCTTTCTTCTGTGTTAAGTAGTCTAATATGGTGAGTAATATTGGGGTTAAGTTTAGTGTTAAGTAGAAATGTGATTCCAAACGTTGTTAATGACACAGATGCATTCACTGTGTGTAATCTCACATATCTGAGCAACCCTTATATTTTTTCCATATGACAGTTTGTTTTTCATCACATTTATGCTCATTATAGTGACATTTAATTTCTTTTTTCTTCTACCTTTGTGTGCTACATGGAATGTGCTAACTTAAGCGGGTGCACTTGTGTGCAAGCTTCTATGTTGAAAGTCAGTCTGTCAGAATGTTCTATAGTCCAGATATAGTGAAATGCTAAAACGTGGATAAAAATAGGCAAAATGTCAACAAATGGTAATCGTATTTTCCCATTTAGTTCTTGTCTAACTGAAAAAAAGTGATCTTACAATAATTTCTCCTCTTACCCGAGATAACTCTCACACTCTTTCTCGTTATATCTCATGAGTTAGTTAATTTTATCGCTTAGCCCAAATGCGAAGTCGAAACACATCTGATGAAATATGTTTTGCTTATTACTAACTAAATATAATATTTTCAAGTGTGGAACGTCACAAATTGGACTGCTACACTTCTGTGCTCATTTCCATGTTAAAACTCAGTCAGTCAGCTTTGTCACTGCAGATGCGTAGTGTCACAACTACCTAGTGTTAATTAGCTTAAACAATTATTCATACCGTTTCCTAAGTACTCTATGCACTTCCTAATTCCTTAAATTGTCCAGATAAAGTGCACCGAAGAGGAAAACATAAACCAAAAGTCAGTAACACGGACATAAGAATTAGTGTGAATAGAAGTGAATGAGATGAGTGACCTTTTATCCCTGTAGTACGCTTAACTAAAATACTGCTAATAAGTCACAGTTTAAGACGAAGCAGTTGTCTAATACTCCCTGCTGGTTTTCAATGGTTGTCTAACTGATGTCAATCAGTAATCAAACTTCATTCAGTGCACGGTGATGCTGAGCCACCTAGCCTGGTGACCACATTGCAAGTATGACCCACAGAATTCACTCTGCTGCAAACAAAGGACTAGATGTGCATGACACTAGTTAGTATCCAATCAAAGAAAAGAATAACCTCGAACTCTGTTATATACAACTAGTTTTGCCTAACACTTTTAAAACAGCTACTTTAAGGAGTTATCGCGCACTGTAGTGAGCCCTCTGTTTGTATTCCTATTGACAGTTAACACCTTTAATGCATCACTGAATTAGCGCATTTTCAAGGTTGTCCTAAGGGTATATTTATACAGAATTTCTGTCTAGCATTCCGTCTGTTGTTTGAGACAGTACCAATGTCCTTTAAATCGACATCCAGCCTTTTTCTTTGTCTTTGCGTGCCTGTGGTGTTATTGTTGTTGTTGACGTGCAATTAGGACAGATTAGCCACCAGCAGCATTAAGTTAAGTATTCGCTCATATTCTACTGGGACGTAGTTCCCGTCATAACAAATTCAAAGAATCACATCCGACTGACAACTTGATCGTTTTAAAACAAAAATTCATCAAAAATCTCATCCTCTTTTAAAATTGTATTTTAAAAACAGAGCTGAGAAAAATGCAGAACAGAAAATGGAGTTTATAAAAACAGGAGAACTTCAGTAGATTTTCAAGCTTTTTTCCCTATTTGATGATAATATTGAAGTAACACGGGAAAACTGGTTATGTACTAAGTGCATCAAAATAAATGCATCATTCCACTGCCACTTTTACATTATCATTAGTTGGCGATCACGGCTCAATAACTGGTTCCGGCCATTCAAAATTACCGGAATCAACTAACTTTGACGCTGCTTTCAATAATTTCTCTATATTGACAAAAACAAAACAAAAAGAGGAATGTATAATGACATATAGATTACAAATTTAATTCAAAATACAACTTCTCTTTAACCGCTGGAATATCACCTGGATGCCTAAATTAAAAGCGGGTGGTTGTCGTATAAAAGGCCAACACTCACCGAGGTATTGATTTGAAGTGTGATCTACAAGACAGTAAGATAGCAGCATCACAAACTGCGTGTGCTACAGGTGACCAGCAGAACAGGTTCACCGTATGATGCTCGATCTGCTCAGGTTCTAGAACCCATGTACATCATAGACTGACAAACCAGAGTTTTTCGCCTGTTTTCGATAGACCAGTCCCCAGTTGTAAGCGCTATACGTTTGTATTCACCCATTCACTCTTACGACGAACCTTACTAGTGATGTGATAAGCATAATGCCTAATTGATTTCACAAGACTGTGAAGATTAATGAACAAAGAATATGGCTTTTCGATGACCTCTTCTTCAACAAGTTCTACATTTAAATACATCCACTGTAATTGTGGTGATAGCTGTCTGCTAACCAAAATTTGTAGACAGTAATTGACGTCAATATTTGCGTCTCAAATCGGGGTCGTGAGAGAAAAAACAAAGACTAGCTGAACAACCAATCACAGCAGACTTTGTGTGGGCGGATACGAATAACAGATATATGGCCTGACCTTCAAAGAAATGGCCACAAAGAAATAACAGGTTAACTTTCGGCGACAAAACAACCAATCAGAAGATACTGTATCTGTGCTAACAATAACGAACAATAATGTACATAAAAATCTATAAACATCTGTTAATTTTCTCAATAAACAATCAGTTTCCTGGCCCTTGTCTTCTGTCGTTACATAATTACAGTTACTAACAAAATTGGTGATTCATTTAAACAATACTGAATTAATAAAATCAATAAATTACAGTTCAAAAGTATCTTTAACTGATTATATGCATGAATACATCACTAAACGGAAATACTACATAATTTATGGATTTATTGGCTCCACATTAGACCAGGATAGCAGTAGTGATTGATTGGACGTGTTTCTTTTGCACAGATGGATTTCCATGAGTTTTAAGTGGATTGCAATGATCTCTACTGTCTGAAAATTTAGGCACTTTGCTTGATACCCAATATATGATAGAAAAAGACTCGTCAATATCTAGTTTCATAGCCTGTTTATTTAGGACAGGTTTAAACATAAGATTGTAGAACTTGATGAAAAGGAAATTGTCGAGTAGTCATATCCTTTGTTCACTAGCCAATCTTATGAAATTAATTAAGCGTTATGCTTACCACATCAATGGTGAGGTGTTCCTCGTTAAAGTGAATGGGTGAATACAAACATCTGGCGCTTACAACCGGGGACTGGTCTATCGAGGATAGCCGAAAAACCAGGATTTCCGGGCCTATGGTGCACATGGGCACCAGAATCTGGACAGATCGAGCGTCGCCTATAGCACCCGCGGTTTCTGATGCTGCTATCCTACTGTCTTGCAGAGCACATATCAAATCAATGCCTCGGTGAGTGTTGCCCCTTAAACGACAACTACTTGTTTTGACCTAGGTGACCAGGTAATAACCCAGCTGTCGCACAAATCGCTAGCTTGGAGATAGAAAACAATACCCATAATAAATTTTTCTAGTCGACTGGCAACATTCCCCTTCTTTTCAAGATAGAAATCAATTAAAAGGACACTGAATTCTGATATAACCTAATGAGGGTTTTCACGACAATGCAAACACATTCACATTCACAACAGTATACCCTACACCAAAAAATGTCATCAGTCTTCGAAACCGGCTACATAGCCATACATATAATCTGATGGATTCGACTATTTCCAATTTTGCTGATATGTATGTACCATAGTATCGATTATTTCCAGTGAATACAGCTAGGCATTCATTTATTTTCATCACTATTGTATATTATACTTCATTATCTTCAAGGTGTAAATATTATTCAGACTGGAAATAATCTCAAATTGACTTCAAACGTAGTAAGCTTATATTACACCCTGGCTTGTTGACCTAATTCATGAATTTATCTTCATTTGTACAGGCATATCTGACTGACCACTTTCAACATAAAACTTTTCACAGATGTGCAGTATTTCCACTGGCCCCACTCCCTCCATGTAGCGAACAAAGCAAGAGAAGAAAGTGAAGAGACATTTAAGAGAGAGAAAGAGACAGGTATTGGACAAAAATGTCAGGCAAAAAGAATAACAATAAAATCTTGTTAGTTATTGCAAATGACAAAAAGTGAATGCATCTGTGCCATTGACATCGATGATTTAGAGCCATATCCCCCGCCAATTGTCTCCAGTCATCATTGGTTCTTACAATCCCAAGGATCCGAACGAGCAAGTCTACACCTTCCTATGTGGCTGGCTTAAACTAAGTGTTATGATTTCATTGACTGATGAAACCATGTTTTCGTCTGATCACCACCACTAGCTGTTTTCCAACCTGATCCATCCCATGTCAGTCAGCTAACATTGCCTGTTGTCGAGACAGGCGATGGCCAGGTATGCATAGCATGTGTCCTAACCATCCAATCCGTGTAACTTCACAACGTCGTTGATTGATTCGCCCTCCTCAGGCATATCACCTCACACCCATCAACCCACCGTAACTGCTACTTCAACTTTTGAACAACTTATTTTCTCCACTAAAGGACCAGTTATTTTCACCTGTCCAAGTGACTGTCTTTCTATAGAACTCTAGTGGATACAGTGAACAATTGTCAACAGGGTGTAACAAAAGGTAATAATCTCTGATTAGAACACTGGGTTCAAATCTACCAGAGAGAAAGGGAGAGAGGTGATATCAGCCTCACTAGAGATTGTAGATACGTCATACTAGTCATACTCAATAAAAAGGAAAACAAGCTCCGTAACTTCTTACCGATTACTTTAAAATATCTAACATCAATTCAAAGCATGTGGCTTGATAATCACATTGTACGCAAACTTGTCTTGAACTCAGTTAGTGCTACCATTAAGGACTAAATACACAGGAGATTGGTTACTCTTCCTCTTCCAGTGACTAATCTTATAATATGATGTCTTGAACCAAAGTACAATCTTTGCTTGTACACTTGAATAGAGCACGTCGTTCACACACACAGCAGTTTTCTGCTAGTAATCTAGAATATTTTGATATGCAATTTACTAATATGCTTTCCTTGATTCTTCGGGTACCTACAACAGACAGAGGGTTAGTGTTGCGTGACTGCAGAGCCCAGGGGACGACTGCTTAAGGCCGGTAACACACGGCATGTATGAACTGATTTCTACGGACCACTGTAGGGTAAGTCGGGATGTACAATTGTTGGGGTCGACCAAATTTAACCCCCTCTCTCCAGAGTGGAGAGACAGAATAGCTGGCATGCTGGTCATCTGAGGGAAACACCTAACTGCTGTTACACCTCTATAAGAAAAATTCTTACACTAAGCCGGTAATTGCCTTCAGTCTAATCACTATTCTAACAATCTGCCTGGCATGGTAGGACCTGCAGGAACATTGGTTCCAGCCAGTGTAGCTCTGCTCACTGTCTCTATCATGCTTTCCTGTACTTTCTTCTCTTGCTTCGCGTGCTACACGGTGTGGCGACTTGAACTGCTGCACATCGGTGCAAAGTTCTATGTCGAAAACAGACAGACAGAATATGCTTTCCTTCCATATTGAAGATTAGACGACCGGTTTGGAAAGGATAAGCAACAATGACCACCTGTGACAGACAACTAACCAATCAAGAATCTATCACCTAACAAGTATGTAGGAGGAAATGAAGATGGATTGGACACATGCTGGAAGACCACCATCGATGAAGGACATTACTCGCCAGTAAGTCAAGTGGAACCAGTAAGAGAAACGAACGATTTCGTCATCTGAAGGTGAAACACAGGCAATTGTGTGTGAGGAGGGAATAAAAGCTTATGGGTGGTAATCGTGGAGCCAGTCAGATAAAGACAAAATATTCAGAAAACTGAGTGAAGCCTAGTGTTTCACTGAGAGTGCAAGGGAATAAAAATAACTAGTACAAAACCTAGATCCAAGGCTTCCTGCCGATTGCCTCCAACTATTGAACAACAATAATATGGTAAAAATACAAAATTTTAATTGATTACTAATATACATAACTAATACAAGAGGCACATTGTAAGAGAGAGAGGGAGAGAATGAACTATAGAACAGTGGTGAATGATTGTTGCACACTCATATTGCAAGACATCAACTAAATTCACGCACAATACTAAGTTACCCTGGTCAGCAGTACATATAGTAAGATATCCTTTAGCGTGAAGAATTGAAACTGAAGCCTCGAAATAACAGTGAACTAAACAAGCTAACATCATTTCGCTTTATAAGTCTCATTTTTAAGGACATTACATTAAAAAACCAGTGTCGGTGTATGTGGGAGGTGAGGGTAGAGTAAAGCTAAATTCTATCACCACTCTGTATTATACAACGCTTACTTACCTCTAGAATCATCCGTTAAATCATTTTGCGTGAAAAGTAATTGATGCCCACCATGGATTAAAATTCTTAACAGCACCTGTGCAGTACAACATAATCCATCCTATTTTTTTTCAATGAAGGAAACAAAATAACAACGACAAGAATATTAATAATAGCAATAATAGAAGCATGAATTATTATATTACCATTGTCTTCGTTTCCAAGTGGAACAAAGGGCTTTAACAACACATCTCCATTTTGTTGGATTTAGTGCTGTTCACTTCACCTGGGTCCACAATAGACCATAATATATCCCAACTCGTCCTCCAACTCGCCCCGACCGAAAGCTGCTACTTTGACGTGGTGGTCGCGCTATAACACCGCAATGACCTAATCAAGCTATGCTGGCTGAGACTTATGTCTCTTGAGGTTCTACCATGCCAGGCAGGTTGTTTGGATAGCGGTTAAACAAAAAGCAGCTACTCAATCCAACATCATGATAAATACAAAATCACAAAATTTCATGCCGGATCGGCCGTGGCCCGGATTAACAACAACCGCGCTTCTTGCTGCCGTGTCACAGGGCAGGAGTGATAAGTATGCTACTGAGACACACCAAACAATAAAGAACGAGCAAAAACTGGCCGCGTGTAACCGGCCTCAAGCAGTTGTCCCCTGGGCTCTGCGGTCACGCAACCAACTTCCACGGTGTGGGCAGCCGGGAAGTAACAATCGCCCTCACAATCCGAAATGCACACGAAACCTCCCTAATCCTCACTCATCTTTGTCTTCAACTTCATCTCCATTATCTTGCCTTCCTTCTACTGATGCAACTCCTCTACTTGATGGCTCTTCACTTCCCCTTCACTCTGTGTCCACTAAAAACGACGGAAGCCAAAAAACCACCACCGACAGCCTCTTAAAGCCGCGCCACCAATTTCATATAGGAGCATTTAACGTTAGGACACTTTGCCAAATAGGACAACAAGCATCACTAGCTAAGACACTGGCATCTCGAGCCATTGATGTATGCTGTGTTTCAGAAACACGCATACAAGACCCATGTGTGGTTATTCACCTAACCCCACCTGACCAACAGGTTGAATCTGCAAAATTCACCTTGAGGGTGTCAGGAGATGCCACAGCTAGTTCACGAGGATTAGCTGGTGTAGGGATAGCTTTGAGTACTAGGGCAGAAAAGACATTGCTTGACTGGATCCCGGTAGATGGCCGAATGTGTGCTGTCCGTCTGAACGGGTCAGTAAAAAAGAGAAAGGACTGCACTACTCGCCGATACCTTTTTGTAATCTCCGCCTATGCCTCCACTGACCGCAGTTCAGATGAAACGAAGGATGAGTTCTACCAAAAGCTGTCTAGTTTGCTGCGAAGGGCTAAATGCTCAGATATAGTCGTTCTAGCTGGTGACTTTAATGCTCAAGTGGGGAAATTGTGTCAATCTGAGAAGGATGTCGGTAGCACCTATGGAGTTCCGTGCCAGCGAACCGACAACGGTGACCGTCTCCTACTTACTTTACTTTACTTCGGCTATCTCCTACGGGAGGATGAGCCGGCTTCATGAACGTCTCGAATCATTGCTGCCCAGGCGCGGCAATTTGTAAGAGAGTTCATGAAGTTTCATGGGAATTTGGTACGAGTGATGTCCCCAGCGTCGCTCGGCCTTTTGTTTGAGAGTGCAGCTCTAGCCTTTACACAGCCAAGTGTGACCTACAAGGCAGTAGGAGTGGAGTAAGGAGTCCACTATCCATTGGCAGCCGGTGACCGGAGTTCGGTTCATACCGTCTCCTACAGTTCTGTTCAGATAATCATTTGTTTCTTGTAAGCACTAACTTTAAACACAAGGAGAGACACTGTTTGACTTGGAGACCCCCTTCATCAAACCAACGCTGGACACAAATAGACCACATAGCAATAAGCTATCGTTGGCGTGGGTCGGTAGGAGATTGTCGCTCCTTCTGGAACACGTGTGTAGATACTAACCACGCACTGGTCCGCGCTCGGGTGTGCTTACGACTGAACGGACGTAGGAAACAGCTGGCGGTAAAACCATCACGTCCCTCGCTCGATCAGGAAACTAAATCCGTATTTGAGGAAGAACTAGCTAAACACATATCTGTGTTCGACAGCTGTGCTCACCCTGAAGAAGCTTGGAAGAATATTCAGTCAGCCATAGATACAGCTGTAAAAGCTGTGAACAAGGTAAACCCAAAGGTGAGTAAAAACCACTGGATCTCCACCGCCTCATCCGAACTGATAGATGCTAGAAGACTTATTCCGGCGAGCTCCGAATTCAATGAGGAGCGAAAGCTGCACAAGAGGAAACTTACGGAAAGTCTCCGCAAGGACCGTGAACTGTGGTGGGCGACAAAAGCCAAAGAGATGGAGAAAGCTTCGAGGATAGGCAACACCAGGCAACTATTTAGACTCATCAGGGAAACGGGTGGGAGAAGACAAATCATCAGTGAAACAATCTCGGAAAAAAATGGCACTATAATTAGCTCCCAGGATAGACGACTGGATCGCTGGAAAGAGCATTATGAGGAGCAGTTTAATTGGCCCACAGCCACGCTCAACCTTCCGAGCATCCAACACCTCCCTGAATGGGATATAGACACAGGTCCTCCATCCCTAACTGAGGTTACTAAAGCTGTCACCAATCTGAAACTAGGCAAAGCAGCGGGACCTGATGGAATGACTCCAGAGGTATTTAAGTACGGTGGAGACAGCTTACTGTCTGGATTAACTGAGGTACTAGGCAGCGTCTGGGAATCAGAAGAAGTCCCATCGGGTTGGTGTAAGTCACTGATTATCCCCATATACAAGAAGGGAGACAAGTCTTCCTGTGATAATCACAGAGGGATTAGCTTGACTAATATAGTATCTAAAGTCTTAGGCTCAATAATCATGCGTAGACTAAGTGGTGCTCGGGAAGCACAAACACGAGAGAGCCAGGCAGGCTTTAGACCAGGAAGAGGGTGTATTGATCATATCTTCACCCTCCGACAGATTCTAGAACATAGGCATTCCTACCGGCGTCCAACAATCACTTTATTCTTTGACCTAAAGGCGGAATTCGACTCTGTCGATCGAGAGGTTCTCTGGAGATGCTTGGCTGTAAAGGGAATTCCGAGAAAATACATTGCACTAATCAAGGCACTCTACTCGAACTCATACAGCCAGGTGAAGGCTTACGGCGAGTTGTCATCTGAAGTGGTGACGACTAGCGGTGTCCGTCAAGGATGCCCATTATCCCATTTTCTATTCAACTTCATCATAGATGTACTAATGGACTCAACCCTAACTCACTTCAGCGACTCAGGGATTGACTTGCTACCAGGGAATAATCTCGTTGACTTAGAATATGCAGACGATTTAGTCTTTCTAGGCGAGGGTGCTGACAAAATCCAGCAGTCTTCTGAACACCTTGAGCTGCAATCTACGATTGTTTGGCATGCGATTCGCTTCCGCCAAATGCAAGACGATGTTACAGGACTGGACTACACCGACTCCTAGTTTAGAAATAGGAAGTGAAGTTGTTGAGCACGTTGACCGCTTCATTTATTTGGGAAGTACCATCAGCCAGTGCCAACGGGTTGATCTCTGACGAAATCTCAGCATGAATACAGGGGGCTCGTTTCGCATTTGCCAGTTTACGCCGACTCTGGCGTAGACGAGATATTCGACTATCGACCAAATGGCGGGTGTACTGCTCATCAGTCTGCTCCGTCCTCCTTTATGGCTGTGAAACCTGACCAGTGAGAGTGGAAGACATGAAAAGACTAGTTGTCTTTGATCATAAGTGCCTGAGCTCTATCTCCCGTGTGAAGTGGTAGGTGTAGTAGGGTGAGCAATATTGAGGTTAGGCGTCGAGTTCTACGTAAGGAGGGGAAATCAATCGACGAGGCTGTCAAATTACATCGACTGAGATGGTTAGGACATGTGTTACGAATGCCAAGTCATCGCCTTCCTCGACAACGGGCAATGTTAGCGGATATAGGGTCAGGCTGGAAAAGAGGTAGCGGCGGTCGAACCAAAACATGGCACTAGTCAATGAAATCCACAACAGTTAGTCTAAGCCACGTAGGAAGATGTAGACTTCCTGACTGATTGGGGTCCTCGGGACGGTAAAAACCAATGAAGGCTGGAAACTATTGGTGATATGGCTCAAAATCGTTCTCAATGGCGCAGATGCATCCACTCTCTGTGACTTATGATTTCCAATGAAACCATGTTGTTTTTCGTTATTACTCTTCCTTTGTCTCATACCTTTGCTTACTGTCTCTCTCTCTCTTATGCATTTCTTCTACTTTCTTCTCTTGCTTGTGTGCTACATGCAGGGAGTGTGGCGACTTGAACTTCCGCACATATGTGCAAAGTTCTATGTCGAAAACAGACAGACAGACTAACTCGCTCGATCTCCTCCTGTCACCATCGTACTGACAACCCACTCGTTGCTTCCCATTCGGATTCCGCTCGAGGGATGACATGGAGCGCGATGTCGTTCGACAGTCGCCTCAACATATGCCTGATCCCATCTCCATTTTCTCCTGCATATTTATTGAACGATCGGCTCTTAGTTGGTTGTTGCCAGCCAGCAAAGGAGACACCTGTTGACAAAAGTCTGCAGTAGGCTGTTGGAAATGCTTTTCATGACGGCTGTATCTCAGCCCTCACACAATAAATGAAATGAAGCACCAAAGTATCAGTAAAACTTATCGCTCGGGTATACAGTGCTTCGGCGCGAGCTGTCTCGCTCTACGCCTGTGAAACCTGGCCTCTCCGAGCTGAGGATGTGCGGCGACTCTGCGTGTCGATCGTCGCTGTCTCCGCAGAACTGCTTGCGTTCGATGGTATCATCGCGTGAGTAATTCTGAGGTTCGGCGGCGTGTGTTTGAACACAGTGGAGATCACCATTCATTGAGTGTCGTCATCTGGAAACACCAGCTTCAGTGGTTCGGACATGTGCTGCCAATATCATCCCAGAGGCTTCCGTACAGGTCTCTGTTCGCTAACCCTGGGAAGGGATGGAAAAGGCAGAGGGGTGGTCAGTCAGTGACGTGGCGTCGTGGGATGAAGGATGTTTGTGCTAGATTAGCATCGGTTGGTGTGTCACGACTCTCTGGTTGGGGCCCGAGAGATAACTCGAACCGTTATCGGATATGACCGAGAATCGTAATCAATGGCGAACGTGTTGCAATTTCCTTCTTTCTTCCCTTCCGATGATAGTTAACGAATGCTGTTTGAACTTGTTAAGCATGACTGTTTTCCTTCCAGATGAAGTTCTTTATCCGTTCTCTACTTATATTTTTTTACTTTTGATCTGTGTTGTTTTATTATTACTGTGTGGTACGTCTTTCTTGGTGCCATATTGTACCAAGTTTGTTCTGTGTTTAAATAAATAAATAATAATAAACATCACCTCCGTCATCTGTATGTTCACTTGGAGTCCTGTCTTCGCTGTTTTTCCAGCCAGTTTGACATTAGACATATGTCATCAGCGAAATCCAGATCTTATACAGTCTTCTTATCAGTGGTCCGGCGTATTCCTGATTTCTCATTCCCAACGCACAGTCTGACGCATAATCCAGTCCACAACAATTAAGAATATCATCGGTGATGATAGGAAGCCTTGTGTTACTCTTGTATGTACTTCGAACGCCTCGCTGAGCTTCCCATTGTGGATCACCTGACATGCGGCATTATTGGATGATGCTGATAAAGACTTGGGCAATGAACGTCATACTGTTGAAGTAGTTTCCAAATTACCTCTCGGTTAACGCATGATGAATGCTAATAATACACACTCATTAGTAAGTATTGTTTAAAACCAATTTAAATATTCCCATTATAATAATTCATATAATTTGATTCCATTGTATTCCCAGTGGAACAAAGAGCTTCAGACTAGAACAATAAAAATTTCTATAGCAGTGGTTTTACTTTTACGGCACAGGGTTGCTCTAGCCTCACATTCTCAACCCTCCTCCTCTTCACCTGCCTTACTACCAGCCTAGAGAAGTTTAGGAGTGCGTGGGCCGAGGATCCAACCCCAGAACCACTTGCTTGGTTGGCGAGTAAGTGTTCTACCACTGAACCACTGACGACGCACTGTCTCCTATTTATCTGGTGACCCTGAAACTGATTGTTGGAAGGGGAGATGTAGATTAGGTAGTCAGACCATATTGCGTCCTTACAAGAGAAACAACAGTCATATTGAGTTATGGTGAGGATATATTGTGAAAAACAAAAACTTCAGTAAACAAAAAGTAAGCGCATAATTACTCATAAGCATGCAAATGAAAATATTATTGTATTCAGTGTTACTCTATACTTTTGGAGAATGAAAAAGGCACACACACACAAACACGTACACACTTACCTGTTGAGCAAGGGACATCAACGAGTGAAGACGTATATATCCCGGTTCACATGGATCCAATAAACCTGTACTCCCAGGAAGAAGAAAACCACTAGACAATAGATACAAAACACGTCTACAGAGAGAAAAGAAAAAACGAGGAAAACAACATACAGATGAGAGGCATGTTTTGTTAATTTAATTAATTTATTTTATACTTTATTACAGGTTGACTCTACCCAGGATTTTGATACAGGCATGGAATATTTCAGCATGTAATATCGATAGCCCAAATTTACTAGGCCCACCACTGATATCAGGCGTGCGTCGGCTGGGGATCGAACCCCGAACCGTGTGGATGGTCGGCGAGCATCTTAACAGATGTGTCACGGAAAAATTTAAAGAATTAACTAGCTGAACTAAGAGTTGTTCAGGACTAATGAAACAGAGATAAATTTCTATTGGGTGATTATAAAATTAATACAATTCTTAAAGTACAAACTAGGTTTATTTGAAGAGTAGTGATTTGTAGTCACATGTTGTCTGCTTTGTTTTGACAGTCTGATATTTCTTGCTACATGTAAATTGATCGTTATTTCATTATAATCCACAATATGTTTTGTTCGTCCATTAACTAAATAAACAACGTATGACCTTCTGTCACACGACATTACAACCAATCAGAATCCAATGGTGGTAAGAAAACCTACTGCCTATCTTATTGGTTCATACCTGTTGTTAGTCATTTTCATATATACTCTTGTATTGTTCAGTTAGTTAATACACTCTCTTTCACACCTTTCGTACTCTTTAGTACTTTTCCATTCACACACTCTTGTGTGACAGTTAATTTTCCTTGTTGGAAAATACACGTATAGCATCGTGAACGTGGTGGTCTTCTGATTTGACACCTTCGTGTCAGGACAAATTAAGTATTTAGCAATCCCAGTCTGTACGTTGTCGTCCGTTATATCTCATTAGCGCATAATTCCACTTAGTCACACCATAATATTGGCAACGACATCATAACATACTGGCGACGAGTTCATAACAAGTTGACCTTTCAAAATCAATATAATACAATGAAGTAGATGTGAATTCTCAGGGGAATAAACAAGAAAACAAGTTTGAAACCACTTTACATCACAGCTTTATTGTATTCTAACTAACTGACTGGTTTCAGCGTAGTACTTTGCACAGATATGCAGCAGTTCCACTGGTCACACTCCCTCCATGTAGCAAACAAAACAGAGAGGGAGAGACAGACAGAGAGGTAATAAACAAAAATGCTAGGCGAAAAGGATAATAATGTAAAAGAACAGTTGATTTTTATTGGATATCATAAATCACAAAGAGTGAATGCATCTGAGTCAGTCGTTGAAAACGATTTAACTTCCAAGATTAACTATTTCCGTATAACATTAAGTATCATCATTTATTTTCTGAACCGGACCTTCTGATTTACTCCTTTCACTTACTACATAATTTCTTGAACGTTTTCATATTATGTAACCCTGGTTATTGATCACATTTCTGAAATATTTTGATGAATTAAGCAATAACCCAAACTAATTTTTACTCTTATTTGACAAATTTAATGTACACATATACATAAATATATATGCATAATTAAGATTGTACAGCTAAGTGAGTGAATTCATCAAAAAAAGACTCTTTGTTGAGCCTTTTTCGCTATTTCAATCAGTAAAATTTATGCCTGGTGATGAAAACTACAAGCCGATGTGCAAACAAACAAATTTCCGACAGAGTAACAATTATTTATTTCTATTTCATTTTTTCTTAATTCTTTGCGTTCCTAGTGAAGCAAAAGGGCTTCAGAAGCTTGAGATTTGAAGCTGCAATAGTAGTCAGGTTTATTTTCTATGAGGTAGGGCTGTTAGTACCACACACACACACACAATTTTTTCCCTATAACGGGTTTACTACCCGTCAAGTCAGACTAAGGAGTGCACTGGCTGGGAATCAAAAACCTTGAACCGCCTGAGTAGTCAGTGGGTTAGAGGGACTTCACTACGCAGCAGTATTTTTTTCTTACAGAATAAGTCAAAATTAGTAATTATCTAGAGATTGTCCTTTTCTTTCATATTTAAAAATAGTACTAATTAAGTACTGCTTTCTACTTCCTTCATCATTCGAACTGATAAACAGAGTACAATTATTACAGTGTCGTGATCATACTATGGGTGAGAGCTGTCTGCTAGCCAAACTTGGCAGACAGCAATTCATGTCACTGTTTACGTCCCGAATCAGAGTCATACGAAAAAAAAGAACAAAGCTTATCCTTGAGGAACGCAACAACCAATCACAGCAGAGTTAACGTGTGCAAATACGATTCTCAGATATATGGCTTAACTTTCTGAGAAACGATCACAACCAGTATAGAATAACCTCGAACAAGAAAACAAGTAATCAGGAGACTTTGCTTCTCCACTAACAATAACGAATAATAATGTACATATAAATCTATAAATATCTATCAATTTTCTCAATAAACGATCTGTTCCTTGGCTTTTGTCTTCTGTCGTTACAATACTATACGGGACTTTTAATCTTTAGATATCTATCCAAAGTCTATTGATTTCTATTCACGAAGAAAACAATTCTTACAATTATTATTCAAATAATTTTTGAAACCACGTAGATTGTATTTGACATGAAAGGTAGCATATATATCACATACTTAGGAAGAGATTATATTACCACACATATAGAAGAATCTAACCAGTAAATGCAATTTAGATGTCTAGACAATGTGTTAGTTGTGTAATGGGATTACATTGCCTCTCATACAAAGACAAACCGGGTAGTCTGAGAAATGTTATTCAATCTGGTACGTTTAATCCTTCACCTCCTTGGTGTATGCATCACTTTACCATGGTAAACTGGATGCGGGAGGATGAACTTAGCTATATTCATGAAAGATACACACCTTAACCTTATCGTGTTACACAGAAAAAACAACTGGGCGGACGATTGCTGAAGTATAATGTCAAGGAGAGAAAAGCTCTATAGAATCTAAAAACATACGTGGTTTAGTGGCGGAACACTGGTCAACCAGTTAAGCATACGTTTACCACGCCTAGCTGGGCGTAAAGACGGATAAAGGGGGAGGATTAGGCGTGAGACTACCAAACCCATGTCGTAAAAACAATCACTACTACTGAAACTTCAAAAGCTCTAGCTTGAAGCTCTATGTTCCACTGGCAGTGCAAAGGAATAAAATAATAAAAATAATGACAAGTAATGTACTGGTGTGAAAGATATCTGGGAGGCTATCGCATGTAGGGATAAAAAGAAAGGTATAGATAACAGCCCAAAACAGCTTTATATGCTGTGTATTAGTTGTAGCAGTAGTACCTTCCCACTCAATACATGTAACGCGAATGCAGTAGACAGTAAAGAGAAACAATATTACAGGATTTCATCATGACCTGAAATTGGTTAGAGGACCATTGGAAAACCAGCTGGGAGTACTGGACAACTGTTTCGTCCTAGTTTGGGACTCTTCGCAGCACGCACCCACCGGGGTTCGAACCCAAGACCTTCTGGTTACAAGGCCTAATGGTCTACGCGCTCACCATGTCAGAAGCTCATGATGAAATCCTGTAACCAATCAATCATATCCCTACAAACCTATACTCGAGAAACAATATTACTTGAAGAAAGTTATTTAAAATATGTAGTTTTAATTATCACTTAAAAACTTACCTAAAGGCATGATTAAGTGGCAATGGTTGACATTGTGGACTATTCATAACAGCATACTGAGCCTGTAAAACGCAAATTAACAAATAACAACAATAGTAATAGAGAAGATTTGTAGTGCTCAGGCAGATGATCCCGGTGTGACTGCGTTCACTAAGCCGGATGGTTCACAATTGTGAAGCTTTCGTTGTCTTTCAGGACATGAGGAGAATTCGATAACACTTTTAAACCTCTTGGTCAAGCTAGCGGACCCTGGTGTATAATCAAATATCTTGTTGCTAATACCTATTGTAACGACAGAAGACAAGGGCCAGGCAACAGATCGTTTTATTACAAAAATCAACACGTATTTATATATATTTTATATGCATTAATAAGGCTTATGCAAGCAAAAAAAAGGCAGTCTTCTCATTGGTTGTTTCTCGGAAGTTAAGCAGACAAACACAGTCTTATGATTGGTTGTTTTCGATATCTCTCGGAAAGTAGAGCCATCTATCTGCGAATCATATTTGTCCACATTTAAGTTTGCTGTGATTGGTTGTTGAAACGGCCTTGTTCCTATTTTCTCACGGCCCATATTAGTGACCTAGACATTAACGTAGATTAGTGCCAACCAATCGGAGAGCAGCCTGCTCTCACCACACTCGTCCCCCCGTCAAATACGTGCGACTGAAGTCGGCTTGATCTACTTGGTGCAGGCGTCATCGTTGGCTTGTCTCGCTGTATCCATTTCTGGAGCTCGCTGACGTTCACGCGCCTCTCATTGTTCGCCATTGCGATTGTGTCTGCGTAACCCCATCTCGAAGTGACCATATATGGTCCTTCCCACTTTGGAAACTGTTTGCCTGACCCTGTCGAACATTCGTCCATACTTCGGCCCACACCTTCATATGCTGCTTTCGCCCGACCTCCCAGCAGCGTCTCAAGTAGCAGCTCCATCGCTGACAGATCTTGAACGCCACTCAACTGCGCAGAAGCCTTGAAGTCCTGCCCGAAGATCCATATGTCTCCATCAAAAACTGCAGGGTATAGGCTTTTCATTTGTCGGTAGGCAGCGACACCAAATGTAACGACAGAAGACAAGGGCCAGGCAACAGATCGTTTTATTACAAAAATCAACACGTATTTATATATATTTTATATGCATTAATAAGGCTTATGCAAGCAAAAAAAAGGCAGTCTTCTCATTGGTTGTTTCTCGGAAGTTAAGCAGACAAACACAGTCTTATGATTGGTTGTTTTCGATATCTCTCGGAAAGTAGAGCCATCTATCTGCGAATCATATTTGTCCACATTTAAGTTTGCTGTGATTGGTTGTTGAAACGGCCTTGTTCCTATTTTCTCACGGCCCATATTAGTGACCTAGACATTAACGTAGATTAGTGCCAACCAATCGGAGAGCAGCCTGCTCTCACCACACTATTAGTTATTCGTCTTGATGACCCTTACCCCCTTAATTTCAACCCCGCCCCCCCTTCCTCTTTACCTAAAACCGATTAACCGAAATCATCATATGATTGGTAAAACATTTTTGATGTAAAAAGATACATGTTAGTGCAGAGCCGATGATGAGGAACTCATTGAAAAGGAATACATATTTCTTCGCTCAATCTGTCGTTTGTCCTACATGCGTAAATGGGAATTTGGAAAATACATAATTATACGAGTAACGAACACGAAAAGTACAGAAAAAACAAGTTGTGTATTACCATTTTATTATAAAAGTTTTGTAATTCCCATTGAATGAAAATCAAGGCGATATTGTTTTTACTGACGCTCAGCATGTTTAATGCCGCTGATAGCATTATCAAAATATTCTTAAACCAGAATTTGAACAAGGCATTTAAAAGACAAATTTTGCGCGATAATATCATTTTCGTAGTTTCTCTACAATCGCCTTACAACTAACATGGTTCACAATAATAATAAAATAAAATGCATGATAATTACTCAGTTATATAAAATTAAAGTGTAACGACAGAAGACAAGGGTCAGGGAACAGATCGTTTATTGAGAAAATCAACAGATATTTACAGACTTTTGTGTACATTATTATTAGCGTTATTGTTAACAGAGAAGTAACGTCTTCTGATTGGTTGTTTCTCACTCAAGGTTATTCTGTCATCTCTTTGTTGACGTTTTTTGGCAGTCCCGTTGATACTTTTGCGAATCGTATCCGCCCACGCAACCTGTTGTGATTGGTTGTTGAGTTAGTCTTTGTTATTGCTTTTTCTTATGACCACGATTCGGGACGTAACATTCATGTAAACTGCTGTCTACAATTTTTGGCTCTTACTACAAAAGGACATACTAATCACCAATTATATTTAAACAGATCAATTAGTCAGTTTATGGTAGGCGAAGGTTGAAGTCTATATGTTATTGTACACACAGTTTAGGACGTATCTGATCAATCCAAAGTGCTTCCATGGACTACTTGACCAATCTAAATATGATTGGTCATTAGTATGTACTTTTATTTCATATAATTGAGTGACTGTCATGCATCTTATTTTAGTATTGTTGTGAACCATGCTACTTGTAAAGCGACTGTAGAGAAACTACGAAATGATATCGCGCGAAATTTGGCTTTGAAATGTTTTATTCAAATTTATCAAAAAGGATAAATTGTTTTAATTTTCCCAAACCAGAATTTACAAAATCTTAACTCATACAAAGTAACTTAATCATCGTTCTTCAGCATGAGGTAATTTTTTTGTTGTCAAAGCGGTCAGTTGGTAACGATAACAACCACGTGTAGATTTTTAGATTTGATAAGCGTATGAGATGGTAAAAACGGTATGCATTTACACGATGAAATTGCTTATCTCATTTATGTTGACTTTGTCCCTTCACGGGGGGAGGAGGGTTTCAACCAAGTCAAATTCTGTCTTAGTCCAGTTAATGTGTAAAATGTGTGCACTGTGATAGTATGGAACTCCATACTATTTTTTGTTTATTAGATACATCACACAGTGTTTCACACACACTGTTTCGCTGTGTAATCTTTGTCTTAGTCCATCATTCCTATTCAGACAACTAGAATTTCATTTGATATGAAGGGCTTCTGATATTAGAAGTTCTTGCAGATTTCTGGAATTTTCCTGGACTATTTCAATATTGTTAAAATCTAGTTCTATAGTGTATAGACCTTTGGTTGATAAACAATTTTAAGCTTTTCTAGCTCAACTGGATTTCACCGTGGTCGAACAGATGTTCTAGGGTGTTCATTTCTTCTTACCTCGGAAATCACTGCAAGACTATTCAAACCTTTTTAGGAAAAGATGTTGCCTACACACACACACACTAACAAAATTATTTCAATCTGCATTATCAACCGAAAGTCATAACAACAAAAGAAGTGAAAATCAATATCATCTACCAAATAAATTGCATGAACTGTAATAGGCATTATGTTAGGCAAAATGGGCAACCCCTTCGACTCCGAGAGTCTAACAATTTAAACTAGCGATGTCAAAAGATACTACATGTATGCTTTCATATCTATGCATAGAGTTACCTATGGACATCTATTTAATTGGGAAAATGTAGGCATTTTAAACAATAGGAACACTTAAAATGCCATGGAATTTCTAAAAGCCTGATACTCAGGTGAACTAGCGAATAACAGAGACATTACTTACTATAAACCAAATTTTTCAACTAATAAACAATATCAAGTTTTGGTATGCAGAGATTTGACTGACTACATGTACGATCCCAAGTTGATATCAGTTAGATAAACATTAGAAAATCTGAGAGTACTGGATACCTTTTTCGTTCTCCTTATTTGGAAGTCCTCACCATTATGCACCCATCAACGTTCGACCCCAACATGTTTCAGTTACCAGACGAGCTCGTTGACTGTTCAGCCACTGGGACTCGACTCAATGGCCAGCCTATGAATTCCAACTTCTGTCAGTTCGCGACATATTATATAACGCAACTGCCAGCCGATGTCATGGTGGACCCCGCTGGTTACGACTTCTCACTAGAACTACGGATAACTTCCTGCATACAGCCAGCCACTTATGTGCATCAGATTAATTAACATTACATTAATTACATCTGACTGGCCACAGGTTTGAGATCCTGGGCTCGAATCCCGGAGAGTGAGTACCGACGAAGAGTCCCGAAGTGGGACGAAACGGTGGTACAGTACTCCCAGGTTTTCTAATGGTTATCTAATTGATGTCAACTCGTGATCAAACTTTTATTAAGGAATAAACGTCATGACAGAAAAAAAATCAAATTTCAGGTAAATAAAAAACCATCAATAATCAAGTTAATTAGCAATCAAGATAACGGTTGTCAGATGATACAATGACATCATTCATGGAGAGAATTCGAATAAGTTCACTTCATAGTAAAGCTTGCACTGAAGATATCTAAAACGACAACGAAAGCTTTGCAATTAAGTCACCATCCACCTTAGAAAGTGTAACCACATCACGATAATTATATATTACATATTATATATATATATATATATATTATAAAGTGCATATTGTTGTACAACTTACCAGTAGAATAATCAGCCAAGAATTCAAACAACTAAAGCCGCGAAAACGTCTTCGAAAATCTTTCAAGATACGCGTTAATACTTTCACACTGAAAGAGAAAATTGAATTAAAATGCCAACTTACGTAGGATGTGAAGCACGTTCCTCAGTCCAACGTAAATGTCGAATTGAAGCAAGTGCAGTTTTTTGAGCAGCTAAATTAACTAAAGTAGTAAACAGAAGAGAGAAAAACCAGCAACAACAAAGAACATTAAGAAAATAGAGTAACTAATGTACACAAAAAACAGACGATAACACAAATTCTTTTCCATGCGTTGTCAGTAAGTGTCACTTAAAAGTTTCAACGGAAAATATTACGATGTATTCAACAGTTTCTGTTGACATAACGGCTCATAGCGTGATGACAGCTGTCTGCTAGCCAAAATTGGTAGACAGCAATTTACGTCAATATTTACTTCCCAAATCGGGGTCACGAGAAAAAACCAGGAACAAAGACTTTGCGTGGGCGGACACGATTAGCAGATATAGAGTCTAACCTTCAAAGAAACGGCCATAAAGAGATGATAGCGAGCGAGAAAACAACCAATCAGAGGACACTGTTTCTCTGCTAGTAATAACGGATAATAATGTACATAAAAATCTATAAATATTTGTTGATTTCCTCAAAAACGATCTGTTGCCTAGCCCTTGTCCTCTGTCGTTACAATAGTACTAGTGAAAGTAACTTAAACAATGATAACTAATACCTACTGAATAAAAGGTGCCTCTTGTGGCCCACTGGATATGACACTAGTGTTTGAAACGATTTGGTGCTGGGTTTAAGCTTAGCTTCAGACGGTGAACATCATCATCACTCGCTCACTGGAGATGCACAAGATACATCCAGGTAAGGAGTCCTAAATAGGGAGAAATGTGTATTCTGAATCCTATTGCTAGTCACCGCCAACCAAAATTGACAATATATGGTTGTAGTAACAATTGATGCAGCTAAATTATCCTCTTTGGGGGTAAACCACATGAAGTTAAGTCTGTCTGTCTGGATTCAACATAGAACTTGGCACCGAAGTGCAGCAGTTCGAGTTGCCACGTTCCAATTGGCACACAAAGTAGACAAGAAGATGAGTGAAGAGAATCAATAGAGTTTGACAAATATAAGAGTGAAACATAATGGGTAATGGTAGAAAGGAATATGAAAGATTACAGAGACTGAATACATCTGCGCCACTGACAACGATTTTGAGCCATGTCACCTACTGTCTCCAGCCATTGATTCCTAGAGTCCCGAGGGCCCCAACCCGGGAGTCTGCATCTCCCTACCTGACTCAGTTTAACTGTCAAGGATTTCATGGATTGATGCCATGTTTTTGTTTGGCCACCACTGGCTCTTTTCCAACCTGAACCTATATCAGCTAGCAAAGCCCGTCGGGGGAGGCGGTGGTTAAGTTAAGTCTGTGTGGTTGCCATTAGGTGAATGATTCACAAACGAATCTCCACAACAACAACAGCAAGCAAAGACTTTCTCACAGTACAAATGATATTAAATACTGTTTAAGTGCCCATAAATGACAAATTAATGTGGAATATAGCATAGCATAAAAGTTCATTAATTTGAATTTATACACCTCCAAAACAAAACAGGAACTAAGTGGTATTACAACTGAAAAAATGGATGTAAATTAAAAATCCCCATAGGCTAATCAAAACACGATAAGCGATTCGATAAATTATTCTTCAGGCTCTACACAGTTAGAAATCCATGATCTCATTATAATACATATAGCCATTGAAGGCATATAGAAATTATATCGGAAACTGTATTGTTGAGGTAGATGTATATAATATGGAGTGATATTTCGTTATTTAATGTTGTTAAATGAACGTATATAAAAAATATGCAGTCATGCGGAACATAGAGACAAAGTGTGAATACATAAAAGGTTGACATACTAATGTAATTTATAGTCAATAGAATGTTTAATTTGGGGGTGGGAGTAAACTATATTCAATGGTGTGAAAGGAAAATAACTACCATAAAATACATACAAACAAATACCAAAAAATGGGGAACAATGAATGTAGGTTCAAGTAAGGGCTGTAGTGTAGTGATACAATTACATAAAGAGGTTAAATGATGAACTGTAATAAAATACTAGAGGCATAATATATATTAAGTTTAGTATAAATTATAAACTGGGTCGACACATAATAAAGGTAATAATGGAGTACAGTGAACTAGGTGAGAAGGAATAAGAAGGCATAGTATATGACATGAAAATATGATTATGATGCTGTTGACCCTGTAATAGGCTAGGGTAAACAAAGAGAATGAATGCTCCATTTTTTCACACATAGGTCAGGTTTTTTCTTATTAATCTCTATAGTTTCCGCTAGAGCTAGGAGATGTAATCGTGTGTCTTTAGGCAGATTATTTGGTACTTACTCGATATACAACCGTAAATGACTTATCTATTTTGATGTAGTGTTCACAACCAAAACGATGAGACAAAATGGCACTGTTTATTGATTTGGTTATGGTTTTTCCAAGTCAAACAGGAACATGTTCTCAAACGTGCAAGGATGAATAGTTCTCTGAGTCCGACCTATATAACTAGCTCCACATGAGCAGTTGAACTTGTACAATGACACTGTTATGACTGAAATGAACTGAATAAACCCGTTGCTTCTTAGTTATGTCCGCGACCGTTAATTACTTTGGCGATAATGAACTCGACCGTTGTACCTTCTGATTCACTGAGCAACGCTAATATCAAAAGGCAAAGGTTGGCATGTGACTGTATGATATCGTATTATAATATTTTATGCTAAGTCCTATCAGACACATTGATGTGACCATCTTAGATAATTTATCTTTTTGTGCAATGTCAGTAAGGATCTGGTTGAGAAACTGACGGGTAGTTAGTTTTGTGGAACTGAAAGTTCTTTCAACTTATCTGATCAACCTACGGCTTAATATATCACTGCTTATATCACCTTTGAACTGTACTCTTAAATAAGGGTTTTTCTTATTCACTGTGTCACGCTTAATTTTATCACTTCTTTTGGAAATACACTTTTTCACAAAATTGGTAGAAGGATATTTTTAAGATTTTTGATTTCATCTTCAAAACAATCTTCAGTATATATGCGCCTAATTCTATGACTAAGACTATGGACCAAGTTCCGTTTATATTGTACGGGTATGAAACCATGGAAATGGATATATTGTCCGTTTCATGTCGCTTTTCTGTAGTTGATTCGCTTCAATGTGCTGTCTGGCGTTTTGGTAAGAACATTCGAAAAAGAAATACTTCCTTGATATTCTTCTTCGCAAAGGAATTTAATTACCGGGTACGCATTATTACTGGACTGCATCAGATGTCAATTATCCAGAATATTGACACAACCGATGAATGTATCGTCTGCATAACGGCAATAATATTCAGCTTTGTTTAACACCTCTCTTAGAGGAACATTCTCCAATTTAGCTAGGAAAATGTCCCATTCTTGATATGTCAAATTCACTATTTCATTGAACATCTGAATAAATGACTGGTAAATCTGTTTGAGCCGCTACATCGGGAGTAGGTTAAACATAGTGTAAAAGATGTCTTCACTTTTGTTGACAACATTAAAGATAAAATCATGTTATCGTTGGATTTGACGTTACTATTTACCAATATTCCCCTGGTTGAAACAGTGGATTATATATATATATATATATATATGGCTGTGAGACCTGGCCACTGAGAGTGGAAGACATGAAAAGATTAGCTGTCTTTGATCATAGGTGCCTGAGCTCTATCTCCCGTGTGAAGTGGTAGGTGTAGTAGGGTGAGCAATATTGAGGTTAGGCGTCGAGTTCTACGTAAGGAGGGGAAATCAATTGACAAAGCTGTGAAGCTACATCGACTGAGATGGTTAGGACATGTGTTACGAATGCCTAGTTATCGCAATGTTAGCTGACATAGGGTCAGGCTGGAAAAGAGGTAGCGGAGGTCAAACCAAAACATGGCACTAGTCAATGAAATCCACAACAGTTAGTCTAAGCCACGTAGGAAGATGTAGACTTCCTGACTGATTGGGGTCCTCGGGACGGTAAAAACCAATGAAGGCTGGAAACTATTGGTGATATGGCTCAAAATCGTTCTCAATGGCGCAGATGCATCCACTCTCTGTGACTTATGATTTCCAATGAAACCATGTTGTTTTTCGTTATTACTCTTCCTTTGTCTCATACCTTTGCTTACTGTCTCTCTCTCTTATGCATTTCTTCTACTTTCTTCTCTTGCTTTGTGTGCTGCATGCAGGGAGTGTGGCGACTTGAACTTCCGCACATATGTGCAAAGTTCTATGTCGAAAAGACAGACAGACAGACAGATATGCGAACACGTTGTAGAAAGGAAAATAGATATCGAGATCACACTTATGAAATTGAAAGAATTGTTGCTAAAATGTACTATGAATATTCATTTTGTACTTAACAATGAGTTTTACTGTCCAGTAGATGGGGTTGTTATGGGTTCCCCTCTGCGTTGCTTATTAGCTGACATTAGCGCTCGGCATGCATAACCCATTTAGCCACCTTGATCGATAGAGCTTACAACTTCAAAGTTCCATTTCATCTCGCAACGCAAATCGACAATGCAATATGTACGACGTTTTCTACACAAAAAGCAAGACACGCATATCCTGACTACCAACTAAGTAAGCAGGAAATAAAACCTTATTAACTAAAGTTAGCGAACTGTAAAAAGAAAGTTTTTTTCAATCTATACGTTGATCACACAGAAAAACAGTATGAATTTCGCTAGTTTTCCCTGTAACTCACAAAGACTAGTGGTAGGTAATTTGGATAATCGAGGTGCTAAGGGACAACTCCCTTTTACACTGTATACTGACTCATATTTCTTTCAGTCTGTCGACTTCTAATGCAATGGGTCATAGATTCGAACCGAACTCCACCTACCTAGGTTTAGGTATCCAAGGTAGTATCACACACAAGCCCTCAAATAATAGCTGTGTGTAACTTATCTCCAACTGCATGGAATTACAAGTGGTTGTTGAGTAACATTAACAACTATGCAATTATATACTAGTATCGCTTAAAATGTGAGTATTACATTTGTTTCTTCTTCTTGCATACAATATTTATCGCTCAGTGAAAGCAGTACTGTGTACAGTCAAATCTAGTGAATAATGAGCTAGCTCTTGAAGGTAAACTTTTAGCCAGAATCTTGGTTTACACAAACGGGAAGTTGTATTTTTAAAATTATAACCTAAAACAATCCTATGCATTAACCGTGTCAACCACCTGTAAACTCAATTACTTTAGCATACACTAACTGACTGAGTTCTAACACAAAACCATTGCACAAAAGAGAAGCAGTAGACGTTGCTTCACTTTATCTTACATAAAAATAAGGAGGTAAAAAATATTTAATATTCTGATTATAGCCTGAAACCATGGAATACTTTCGGTACATGTATGGAATTTTCAGAATGTGATATCGGTAGCCCAAATTTTGCGGACCGACCATTGATATCAGGTGTGAGCCGGCAGGGGACCGAACTCCGGACCATGTGCATGGTCGGCGAGAGTTGTAACCACTGTGCTACCAACGCATAGAACTATAATCAGCAGGAATGTGTGTAAAAAAACAGTAACATGAAAACAAAACACGAGGGTTTAATGAATATTGGAGATCACACAGTGAGGATAAATTTGAGTAATATCATCATTCTTAGTCTCATTGGTCTATAGTGTCTTGAAGATCCCAACACCAAGCAGTTTACACCTCTCTCTACGTGGCTCAAATCAACAGTCATGGATTCCTCATGGATTGTTATCAGGTTTTGAGTTTGACTACTCCAATCTAATCTTATGTTTGTCAAGGAAGGCGATAGGTTCGGCATGCACAACACGTGTACTAACCGCCTTAATCGATTGACTCATCCCACCCAGACTAACACTAAGTCTCACCTCAATACTACTCACCATGTTATACTACTAATTAACATGGGAGATAGGACGCAAACATTCATGGGGTCAAGGGCAACCAATCTTTTCGTATCTTTCACTCCAGGATACATGGAAGTGATATGATCACAGACAAAAATTATAACAGCAGAAAATGTAACTATAAATAAGTAGGCAGAAGTATAATCATAATTGAGTGGGGTGACAGGTTGATTTGCTCAATTCCAGCTGGTTCTGCCCTATTCAAAAGAGCTTCCAGACAATAATATTAATGGTTTGCATACATCAACAACGCAAATGAGGAACCAAGTATAGGTTTAACTATAGCCAAAATAGCATGTCTTTGCAATATTTGAAGAGATTTGCGTACTCATAATCCACAGGTTAGGGGTAAACATTATGAGAAACTCTAGTGTACACTAACACTACGTGACCTTTATGGCTTCAGTTCACCTATCCTTAGTTGAATTCCAGTACAATTTTATTCAATTAACTTGCATAAATAAGAGTTTTCAAAACTTACTATGTATATTAGGATCTACTTTATTTAAATTCATTGGTGTAGTAGTGATTAAAACTTGCACAACATAGTCCCCAGAGGTGACAGAGAATCCATAGCTTTCTAATTCAACTTTACAATTAATATATTCAGTCGACGATTTATTAGTTGTCAGTTGACTACGAACAAAATTGGCTAAGTTTTGTACAGCTTCACGTGTTGGTAGTGTTCGAAGTACACAGACTAAATCTGCTATGCATGAACCATTCAACCATGTGCCCATTTTAAAAGAGCCAACACGATGAATATGCTCCAGTTGCTGAAATAGGAAGACAAAATTTAAAAGTAATGTAAGGCAATAATTTCGATACAATAATTACGTCACACTTGAATTCATAACAGTGAGGAAAGCTAAAACACAATAGTTTTTGGGGATACTTGTTAAAACATAGAGAAACTTGATTTTGGGAACTAAATATTTGATTTGCACTAGACAATCCTATTCTGGTTAGTGATGCCATTTAGATTACCGAAATACCAACTATGGTGGAACTATGTTCGAATCCGTCACTGTTACCTTCAGGCTAGGTGACTAAACCAAGGAGCAACGGTTGCGTGATCTGAATGATCATAAAATAGAGTTCACAACAACTTAAGAGATAAGTCGGCAGCTAAGAATGGTTGTTCAGTGGTCTGGAGAACCAAGACGTGGATCGTTAGCATGATTCGGAATTTAAGTCATATCTAGCTGAGTTTGACTCCTGCAACCAGGTAGTACAGTAAGCCTCCCGCTATGTATAGAAAGTTTTCGTTAACTCAGTTGCAGTCAATTACTTCGTATCACTCGGTAAGAATAATTCTGAAGAATAATATTATTGGAATTATTACTTTGTCTAACTTTATGAAAGAACACAACTAACCTCTAACGGCTCAATGATTAAACAACTAAATCAGCCTGTTTCCTTCCTGTACAATGAATAGTGTCGCAATGCCATGTATTCGTATACGTCTTTCTCGTCAACTCATACCCAAAAAGTGTACAAAAGCCACAGCCGACGAATACACATAAGCATATTCTTCCTAAAATCTTAAGGCTGATAATTCAGTAATATTGTTACACAGAATTGCAGATACGCGACAACTGGATAATTCAGAGGGTAGCTGAGGTCATCATCCCCACTTTTACAACAAGTATCTACTAATTCTAATGAGTTTTGCTAAAATACGAAAATATCCATATCAGGTTGCCAACTGAAAAGTATGACAAGTGACGTTATTATTTATTTATTATTGTTATTCCCTTGGGTTCCTAGGTGAACATACGCTTCAACTGAACGTCTCCATTTGCTTCTGTCTTCTGCTTCTCTCACCTGCATCCATGTCAGTCCATACTGTTTCAACTCCTCTTCACACGATCTCCTCCATGTCACCCTTGGACGTCCCACACGCCGCTTCCCTTTCGGCCTGGTTCCACTCGAGAAATGGCCTGAGGTGCGCGCGACGTAACCCAGAGGCCTCCTCAGCGAGTGTCCAATCCATCTCCACTTTCTCTTGCATATTTGTTGGGCGAGTGGTTCTTGTTTTGTTTGTTCCCATAGTTTCCAATAGTTGGTGATTCTTTACGGCCCGGCTATCTGATCTTCAGTATAGAGCCAGCGAAGACAGTTGTTGGTTGATAAAGGTCTGCAACAGGCTGTTGGAAATATTCTTTGTGACCCGCCCACCAAGTTTCTGATCTATATAGAAGAACTGACTGACTTGACGTTTGTATTGAAGATCCTAATTTTGTTGTTGATGCTGAGTTGAGTGACGAAGATTTCCAGATTGGTTTCAGGCTGACGAATGTGTTTCTCGCCTTCCCGATTCTCAATTTGACATCCTCGTCCGTCCCGACTGCCTGTAGCTGAGACAATGCTCCCTAGACCAGTGAGTGAATGAAGTAACCTCTTTCAAATCCCTCCCGTTGATGGTGGTTGGCGCTGGACGTTGCTGCTATTGTTGTTGTTGGTTGGTTATTTTCATAACCGTCTTGTCTATGTTCACTTGGAGTCCTGCCTTCGCTGGCTGCTTCTTCGACCAGTTTGTCAGTTTCCGCTTGTAAGTCTTCGATTTTGTGTGACATCAAACATAAATCATCCACGCGCGAAATCCAGGTCTTCTAGCTTCTTCACGTCGGTCCAGACAGGATATCCCTGTCTTCTCGTTTCCCACTGTATGACTCATAATCCAGTCAGTCCACCACAATTAGGAATATCATTGGTGATAGTAAGCACTCTTGTCTGACTCCTGTGTTTACTCCGAACGCCTCGTTGAGTTTCCCGTTGTGAATCACTTGAAATGTGCCGTTTTCGTACAGCTGTTGAATAAGGTTGATGAATATTTAGGGTAGAGTGACGTTATACTGTGGGGTGAAAAAAGGTATGCAAACGATTTCTTAAGTTTACTCTAACAAATAAAACCTAAAGGAACTGAAATATCTTTTAATACTAACATAGTAGACTAAGAAAGGAGTAACAACTACGCATTCAAAGTGATTCACATATGATCGGAAGACCAACCAACCAACAAATCAGAGTTAGGCAAGCACGTTATCATGCAAGCTTGCTTTTTAATGTGAAGATACTAGGTTCATATTATGCTAGCATAGTGCTGAAAAGCCTCGAAGTAGGATAAAACAACCGTCCAATACTACCTGATTCTTCAAATGATGCCAGTTCGTAGTAGAATCGAACTGAAAATCAATCAAATCCATACAACCCAACACTAAAACATTAAGATTGTTTTGTTGAGTTAAATTGCTATCAAAGCTTTTTTCACCATAAAACAATACTTTTTTAAAATGACAAATTCAAAATAATGCAAAAAAAGCAATTATACTAACATACTGCTGACTCAAAGATTGACGGGTTCATAATAATATTATCCAGAATTTCACATATTCCATTGTTTAAGTTTGTCAGAGCATGCTGAGAATCAGAAGACGGCGTTAGTTGGGCATGTTGGTTTAACAAACATTGCAGCAGATTTTGGTCATCAGCAGGGATAGCCAGATCGGGCTGTAGTAGAGCAATATCAAATGGCAACTGTCGAATAAATTGACCTGCATGTGCCCTGAAAAGAAAGGAACGATTTAATCCTCAAACTCTTATCTAGAGGATACTGACTGGGAGACAAATACAGTTATAGTGATAAATGTTATACGGAACAATAGTTTCTCAATTAGTAAACATTTATCGGTTGCCTAGAGACCCTTAGAATCACCCCTGGTTGCTTTGATCTGTTTATATTTAAACTATGTAAGTCACACTTAAAAATATAAATAAAAGTCTATTAACCACAAAAGTTAACGCAGGATAAATGTAGTTGTGAGCAGTCGTTCTGTAATGAGATGTCAGTTCAGTGAGTTAATCCATGAGCAGCCGTCAGCCGGCCACACCATCAGCCAACGATATATATATATATATATATATATATATATATATATATATATATACGCTGGGAAAGACCCCATCTGACCTGCAAAATGTAAGATGCTGCTACAGGACTGGACGACGTCAACCCCTAACTTAGTGATAGGGAGTGAAGTGATAGAACATGTCGACCACTTCACCTACTTGGGAAGTTGTATTAGCACCAACGGACTGATTGGCGATGAAATCTCAGCACGGATCCGAAAAGCTCGAGCTGCTTTCGCTGACTTACACCATCTCTGGCGTAGGCGTGACATCCGGTTATCAACCAAGGGACGTGTGTACTGCTCATCAGTTCGCTCCGTCCTTCTCTATGGCTCTGAAACATGGCCAATACGCGTTGAAGACATGAAAAGGTTGACTGCTTTCGATCATAGATGTCTGCGATCTCTGTCTCACGTTAGGTGGTTTCACAAGATAAGTAATGTTGACGTTAGGCGTAGAGTGTTGGGCAAAGAGGGAAAATCAATCGACGAGGTTATAAAGTTACATAGACTAAGATGGCTAGGTCACGTGGTGCGCATACCTAACCACCGCCTCCCCCGACAAGCATTGTTAGCAGATATAGGTTCAGGTTGGAAAAGAGCCAGTGGTGGCCAAACAAAAACATGGCATCAATCCATGAAATCCTTGACAGTTAAACTGAGTCAGGTAGGGAGATGCAGACTCCCGGGTTGGGGCCCTCGGGACTCTAGGAATCAATGGCTGGAGACAATAGGTGACATGGCTCAAAATCGTTGTCAATGGCGCAGATGTATTCAATCTCTGTAATCTTTCATATTCCTTTCTACCATTACCCATTCTGTTTCACTCTTATACTTGTCAAACTCTATTAATTCTCTTCACTCATCTTCTTGTCTACCTCTGTGTGCTATTTGGAATGTGGCAACTCGAACTGCTGCACTTCGGTGCCAAGTTCTATGTTGAATCCAGACAGACAGCTTTGGTTAACCATTAACCACTGAAAATTCCCGAATCGTGTAACAGTAACTCTACGTATTAAGTAATTGCTCAACTGCATTCTGAGGCTTAGACACATCGTGATCATATGCCGGCTGTGCTGTTGCTTATTTGATTCCGTTACACACTCAATTTCCTTGATTATAGTTTCATGGATTAGACTTTTAACAAACATACGCTTTGAAAAGTAAGAGATGAAGAGCACATCTGCAAGCCAATACGAAACATACAATGAATGAAAATGTAAAGCTGAGCAGTGATTTCTTGAGTACCATGAATATTATGGTTGATGGAGTAAAAATTTTAAAGTACAAACATAGATGAACATAAATTTGCAGTTACTAATCCACCTGAGTGACTGACTGGTTTCGACATACAACTTAGCACAGAATTGCAGCAGTTTGAGATGCCACACTCCGTGAAGCACAAGACAAAAGAGAAAGAGCTTCAGAATAACACAGCATAGTAAGAAGAATAATGAATATACAGTACCGAAATCTTGACATACTAAACAAGGCATTTCTTGCGTAGAGAAATACAGCTGTACGCTGTATTTACGAAAAGTAGTATCCCACCTCTGATATCAGACAATGAAATCACATGACAGCTCCCATGTTGACAGAATTATTCCACCAAATTTTTCGTTCCAACTTGTACTTTTAGGGACTTAATGAAGTGAACTTTACTAATCGTGTCTTTAAACAGTTTCCAGCTTCTCATGTGTAATTACTACTCATACAGAAAACAATATCAGTGAAAAACTGCATTTGCTCAATAAGACACTTTCCCGAAACAATGACATACTGGCGAAGTTACACTTTAGGAACCGAAGGAGTGGGACACACCAGTCACTTAGAAAAGGCGATTTCTGCATAACAAGTACAAATATATAAGAATATTATGGATAAAATAGCACGATGCCAATAAAAAGAATACCTTTCTCTGTCACGTGACAAGGCTGCTTCTCCGTTTTGGATTGGCGTGAAAATAAGGTGATTTTACCATGTTCTATACATGTATTCATCAAGGTCTCCCGACACTCATTTTAACCGTTTCCTTAACCTAACGCGAAACTGCTCATAAACTAATCCTAATCTAGACAGGACCGAACGGAATATCGCATTTATCAGGCAAACGTAACCCTAAATGGTCAGGTTATGACCTGTTCCGAGCCTATGGGAAGAAATGACCTTAATCTTTCCCGAAACTAACAAGAACTCACCGCACCCCGCCTAGTATCAAAGCACTATAGTGCTGCATGTATACATGCAGCATATTTTATTCGTGATTCTCATGTTACTTCCTTGGTGCCACTAACGTGCTCACTGAGCGCTTCACGGTCACTGGTGAGGTTGCACTTCTTTGGTACCCCAACTATTATTTCCTTCGGGCGCACTGCATGATATTCGGGGCACTGCATAACGTGTAACAGTGATCTGCAGTCTGCCTCAAAGTTAAGGTGCTCAATGTCTAACTTCGCTCTTAAAGGTTAGCTTAGCTGTTATATTACTATTAAACGTGCCAACTTACGGATTATTCCGCCTGAAAGATTGTCTCCCACGTCTGCGTCCCACCATGGCGTTGAGATTGTTATGTAAGGCACACAGACCACAGACACGACGGGTGGAGAAGGCAAAGACGGTACGGAGGAAGCCGGACTCAAATTACCCGGGTACAAGTTAGTTATCATCATTTATAACAAGCTTTGATAACTGGTCCTCCTCTTGCTCCAATGATGCCACATCACCGTTTCTTTCTGAAAAAGAGAAAAAAGAAACTTGTTTAGTGGCATTGTATCGGTTTCCATTGCATTACAGTTAGCGCGCACACACAAAATTCAATTCTCAATACTCAATATGACCGTGTGCATCTTCTAATATCCACTCTCTCCCTGAAGAACCTATATAAACCTTAAGGGCTCCTGAGGCAAGTTACTTGGGGCGTACTGAGAACTACCTATCAAAGTAATAATGATCTGAAACGTACTTCAGTCCTGTGTCTGCGATGTTGGCACAAGGTATTTCTGATATTTCTCATCTAGTTCCTGAAACGGGCGAGAAATGCAAGTTATGACTTATGGCTGCTTAGATATGTCAATTGGTAGCATGTAATTAGAATTTTATCGGTCATTATAGCTGGTTTCGACATGGCATTTCAACTTCTGTGCTAATGAATAATTTAATCCACACCAGAGCATCTGCGCCCAACCATATGCACGCTATACAGATCAGACAGTTATCATGTAACTACAAATTGATTTGGAGATCTGCTATATAGGCAGCCGGTGTTTGAGTTTCGATTTAAGAAGTATGAATTAGAGGCAGATTTCACACTTCCATTGTGCTGGTAATGATGCAAAAGCTGAGTCCCCATTTTAATCATCGCCGCTGGTAAAATGTACTACATTTTGCTAGAATAGGTTGTAATTCTTATTCGTTACATGTGTTACACCCTATGGTACACATTAGTCAATCTTATGTTCCTGTTTTCTGCAGTCAGTAATTGCAAATTATGCGAGCTACTTGCTGAGTTGGTACTAGTGTACAACGGTTTAGGCGCGATTTTCATGCTTTAATACCTAGAATCTGGCAGACTCCACGAGGTAACGTATATTTCTCTGTTAGAAACATTGTGTAGCCCTTAGTAAAAGAATTCAAGGGATTACTTTACACGACTAACCTCTAAAAATGCCGTCTTATATGAGAAATTCGACCAGAGCACCTGAGTACTCATTGTGGTGGGTGGGACGGTAACAGTCTGTCCAGCGTCTCCGAATAGATTCTTAAAACACCACTTTCTACTTGGAGCGAAGTGATAAGCTTCATATCTAGACGATGAGTCCCTTTTGAATAGACATGAAGTTAATCTCCTAAAACGAACACAAACATGCTAATTTGTTCTACAGAGTTTGGTTGTTTGTAAGAACTTGGGGAATATCGAAAGAATTCCACGTCTGCCCTTCAGTGCAGCGGCATGAAATTAGTACGTTTATCATCTAGAGTTATTTGTTATCACTATTTTTCACTTGCTTCACGTAAAAGTAAACATTCTGTAGTCCACTGTTATACTTAGCCTTCCTCTTTTGTGGAAGTGCACCTTGAAATCTCAGTAGCTGTGGGAGTGCTTTTCGGGGGCTCAGGCTACTGGCCCCAAGTCCCTGTAACACAAGCTTAGGACAGCTTAGTAAGTGAAGCGAGTTACAAAAACTGCCAGTTCTTCCAGATTTCAGGTCACAAGAATTATATAGAGTTTACATATATTAACCATACGATTCTGGGAAACTCCTTCATACGATGTCGAAGACTAAACCCTTTCAATTGATGGCCATGATCCGTGCGTCGACTGCACACCTGTTAAGACTCTCGTCGATCATGCACATGGTCCGGAGTTCGATCCCCAGCCTGATATAAATGGTCGGCCTGCTAAATGTGGGCGACTGATATCAAGTGCTGAAAATCCCATACTTGTACCAAAATACTGTTTACAGTCAAGCTATAATCAAAAAGTGAAAATAAAAATTCTAAACTTCGGCCACTCCTACGATGGCTAAGTACCTCCATGGCCTATAGTTCCTAAGGTGATATTTCACTCTAAAGAAGCAATTAAGAAATCTAAAAACCCCAAGTATGCGAAATTAGCCCCCTTCGCAGATTCGGCGTTGTAGTCTAAGAAAGTCAGTACATAAATATCTGATACCTAAATTATTCTTGGGACCAGCCAGTGAACTCGATAAGACAGTTCTTCAGTATCCATTGTCTTCCGAACATAAAACATGAAGAAACTGCATATGCGACTTAGGTTTATTTATTGCCACTTCTCTTACGCTAGTTAAGCACAGCTTTTATTCTGAACGGACGGATGTAGCAGAATAAATTATCTGAAAGTGATTCTTCAGGATCGTATTTACAGTAGCGACGTTTATTCCAGGATTCCCACTAGTTTTCTATTGATTCTCCCTTACTCTCGATGCATCTGTGACTATGTTGACATGACTCGTCACTTTTCTATTTATTGTTTATTATTTATCTTTGCTTTCCGATAATTCATATACCTATTGCTTCATAATCCCAATATGCAGCGCTGATCTGCTGACATAGAGTTACACCTCGTTATTGCGGAGGTTTTGCATGATGATATTGCAATACACGGTAGCCTAGTGCTAATGTAGAGGTATTTTTCTACATTGAACATGGCTAACTGATGTTCGAGAATACCGCAGATCTCATAGTGTTGAAATGTGTTTTCATGCTGCTGGAGTATATTCTTCACCCTTGCATGACTCACGAAATTCCGAAGGACTGTTAAGTAGAATACTATCTGTCAGCCACGTCTCGTAAACCGTTAATGCCCAGCTCTTGCTACGCTCGGGCTCACGCTGTTCCTTGAAGTTTCTCAGAAACGCTTAGTAATAACGGACGAAAAAACCAAAACACCAATTGGTGACTCGAAGATTCTTTATTGTTACACCAACATATAAAAAATGTTACAACTAAGGTCTGTGAACAGATATTACAATAATAAATCACAATATTACTTCTGACGGTTTTTTACTCTTCTTTCTGAACAGCGACCGATGAGACGATGACTGTCGTATTGATGTCTCCGCGAAAATTGGGGAAGTTGGTTTCGAGCTAACAACCATGAATTGATCGTTCAATCTTCAACTACATTGACACTCCCCGGCAAAAAAGGATCTATTCCTTTTTTCCATCACGACCAATACACGTTGACTTGGATGCCATTGCGAGAACCCGGGTCACTCGGACAGCGCTGAAATGGAAAACAAACAGAAAAGCCAACACACCACAAGTATACCCACAGCACAATCTCACACATCTATGACGACCTGCGCCTCCAGATAAAGGCATCCTCTTGACATCTTGCAACACAATCGCCACTTGCTAGAATGACTCTTGCAGAATGCAACGTGACCATAGCAGCACCTCACGATACTCTACGCACATCGTCTTATCTACTCACTACCAATTACCACTGCAATCGCTTGTCACTCATTCTGCCTCAGTTCTAGTAACGGTGACGTATGCGAGCCTCAGTCGTCTACACCCCCACTCCCCGGCGTGTGGGACCGCAGCTAATCATTATCTCCGTATGCATTTCATTCTCAGAAATAGCCTCTATAGCGTATACGACCCATCTGCCGTCTTTAACATCAATCAATCCATTCACGGATGTGGAAGACTCGAAACAACTTCAGAAGTAATCACGACGAAAATTTTAACAAATTTATACAATAACAACAAGGTACGAAAACGACGGGTAAACACAATGAATCCAAAATAGACCAATTGATATGACACACCACACATGTATACAAACAGTACACACAAACTCGCGGATCATGTCTTGATGGAATTCCTTTGAAGAATCGCAGGACTTACACCAGTACGCCTGCAACCCTTCACAGGTTGACGATTGTAAGTTGTGGAATGTCCGAACACAAACAAGATTAACCAACAATTACAATAATTGGAACTCACACAATTATTTAACACAAACATATGTACAATCAACACATCAAATGTTGTAGACTCTGGCAAGACAAACCACCCTTGAAGAACTGTAGGACTGACAGCAGTACGCCTACATTCCTTCTCAGATTGATGATGCGACTGGAAGTCGTCCGGACACAAACAGAATTACCAACAGCTAGATGACAGATGATATCAATTCAGTATATACAATATGAACATATGTACAAAATCACACACCGAGCACATTGGACTGCTCACTGATGCGCTACCCTTTGAAGAATTGTAGGACTTACAGCAGTACGCCTACAACCCTTCTCAGGTTGACGCCCTAGGTTGGAAAATCGTTGCAGAGTTCATTTGCTGACTTCCCTCTATCAGCTATATCCTCAAATCTGAACGGCAACACGCCCATGTCATTGTATCGTAGAATATAGATGACCAACAAACACACGACATATCTCATCAACCAAGTATAGAAACAGAGTAATTTACACCAAAGATAATAACATTCAAATAGTAACTTGAAACAAGAAATGCCTTTATTCATGCAAGTCAATTTAACAATTACTCTCTCGTTTACACTTGGCTTATCCTCACTAAACTGAGCGATATCTTTCGTCTTTTCAAATGCACCAATACTATCAGAGTCATTGCACAGGATACATGAGTTCGTGGGCGTCTTTTCCATTGTGGATGACAACACCAACGACAACTGATTGACACCCGTTGATGAAGTTAGCGGTGGATCAAAAGCTGTTGTTGCTCGGCTTTCAGAAATTTGTCTACCTGCAAGACCACCACCACTGCCGTCATTTAATCTCAGCTCAGGTTTAGCACTAGCATCTGATGATAGGTGGGCTACATGCTGATCACTCACACTGACGGTCTCACAAGTATGCATGCGTGCTGCAACTGCATTTATTTCTACTTCACCTTTGAGCTGTACAGAACCCTTATTTAACTTAGCGGTAGTAGGCACTCCCCTCATTTCATCATGATCAACCGAAGACAAATCTGCACTATCATGATCATTATCACAAATGTTCAATTTACCATCATCTATCTGATCGACTTCATCATTTTCA